AATGTGATGTTACAGGTGAATGATGAGGATACCGTGGACAGAGAAGGTTAGAAATGAAGAGGTACTAGAAAGAATACGAAATAGGCGAGATAGGTTGGCAGGACACCTTCTCAGGAATAAAGGTAGATCTAGATTAGATTACTGTTCGCAAATAGTTAAGGATGTGGGTTTTTCTAGTTTTAGGGAAATGCGAAGATTACCTCAGAAAAAGTGGAGGTGCGTGTCTAATCAGTCTTAGCACTGACGACCTTGTAATAATGGTGAACTTTAAATACAATATTTGTCTCCAGGTTAAGAATTGAGGCAGGGACATATGAATTTCACTAAATCGATTTACGGCCTCTTCCATCGGACAGACAGATAACGTTGCCACAATGTGCACTCGTCGATCGCCGCAGTACAGATCAGCTAAAGGCAATCATTGCTCTGTTCAGCCGCTAATATTACAGTGAAGGTGGGAGAATCTGTATTTCGAAGATCTTCAATGTCACATAATACCTAACAGCTGAGCAAGAGATTGAGCTTGCTCACGGACTAGTGACAAATTGTGTAATATGTACCGTCATTAAATATCACTGGATATTGTGTCTATACGGTGTACCCCTGATGAAAAATCTTAAAAATTGCTGATGCCTCAGCTACGTTTAGAAAATAAATAATTTCTGAGGGTATTGTAGTACCAACTACTTAATTTGGAAGTTACGCTGCCCCTATGTAAACTACCCCGTTACTTCCGTTGGATTTCCTACAGGTATAGAACCCTAAAAATCGAATTTGATTATTGAATTCTATTTTCATCAACATGGACTTTTTAACGTTTATTTAGTTCATGTGAAAAAAGTTTACGATGTCTGCTTGAGCGTCGATAGTACGTTATACATGTAAACATGCAACGGGAGTGATTGCTGGCGTCGGTTTGTCCGACGGTCTGTCTGTGGCGTCGCGTAGCGTCGCGTCGCGCAGGATTCTTCCAGTGTGGCCGTTTATCCCTTCAGCTGCTGTTCGTCGTTGAATTCACGTCATTCACGGGCAAATCTGACCCACAGCATCAAAAGAAGGAACACACAGCAGCGAGCGAACACGCCCGAACAGTGAAACCGGTTGCATTCTCTGAAAAATCGCCGAGATATTCTCAACGACAGACGTTTGGCGTCGTCAAAGCTGCGGTCGCAGCGTAAGTATGCGGCGAAGCTTCGAACCGTGTAGATCGCACGTGCTGCTTAGGGGCCGCACGATGTATTTCTAATTGTAATATTTTTGCGCGTACTAACGGACCTTAAATTACGATTCCTTTTTTGATGTTCGTCCAAAAAAAGAACTTTTAATAACGGTTACAGTCAAATAAAACTAAATATTGGAACTGGATGCTCGCATTTTTTAAACAGTTCATGTTCTGGTGAGGACAATAATAATTATATAATAAGCAATAACTATAAGAGGCCTTAAAAGTGAAGTGATACGATTTAAAAAAAATTGTTTGTTTTTTTGACTCGTGTGAGAAAATTTACCTATACCTATACCTGCTCTTAGACCGAACTGTGTGTGGCGTGGTTTAAAGGAGGATATTGAAGAAGCTGTTTTGTTGGATAGATGTAGTCCCTGGGTAGGTAAGCCAATAATAAATAGAAACGAAAGCTGTACAAACGGTGACTTGTGCACACATATCTGTGACTCCAAGATGTTAATTTTAAAAAGTTTCCAAATAACGGAGCGTGTAGGTATATGAAACTGTAAAATTTTTACGGGATTGTCTGGTTCCAACAGAAAATAAACTTGATATCAAACAGTACAATGTTTTATTAAGCATAAGCAGTAGCTACATACGTAATATTGTAATTGTTGTAAGTGATTTGAAATGGTGAAGAAATTTTTAATATATGTTGTATTATATTCTATTGTGAGGTTGTTTAAGTAGGTTTTGAGTATGAAAAAAGTGTACCTATTTACAAAATATTTTAACAAACAAAGAATATATTCTGTTAGGAAGTATTTTACTGAAAGGTGGGTATTCGTACCCAAACTGAAGAAGCTTTCTGTGTCTGTTACTTCGGTTTTACCTGATTTTTATTGGATAATTTGCATCATCAAAATTATACTGTAAAGCATTTAGCATTTTTAATAATTTAGATGGTAGGTATTATATCAATTATTTATGACTTTATTTCACAATTTTTGACAATTAGATATTTATATGTCGTGCTTTGTTATATGTATACCTAAATTATAAATTGAACAAAATTTATTTATTGATTGTTATTTAGTGAAAAATTATCACTTTTTTTCTGTTTATATTTTATAATTTTATTTGAACTGTTTTGAAGTACCTATACACTGAATTATCATTTTGTGAAATTGTTGCTAATCAAGATTATTTTAGTGATTCTGTAGAATTTTATCAATTTAATGAATAAAACGTATCTGTCACTGTTCCCAACATCTTTATTTTTATTATTTTAATTGTTACTAGAAAAACTGTTTTGAGAATTCTCAAAAAAAACAAACGATAGCATTTTCACAAATAATGTGGTGCTAAAAATGCCATAAACCTAACGATCCAAAATTTCCCTACGAAAATAAATAAATGGTACCCACAACGCATTGTTTTTATGTAAATGAGATATTTTTTATTACTATGCGAAAAACAGTGATTTACAAGCATACGTAGGAGATCAGAATGAAGTGGCGCTACCAGCCGAACTTGTTTTAAGAACGGGAATAACTCTAGTAAAACAGTTCTAGTTTTACTATATAACATAAGACGAGAGACACTTGACCCTAACCTCTATTTAAATCAAGTTTCTACCAGTCATCGTCGTTTTGAAGACAAGCCATTGTCAGTCAGGTGAAAAATTAGGCAGGAGACGTATTTGTTCCTCAAGTATCACGCTTCTTGGAAAGTCGTGTACTTGCCTACTACAGGAAATATGACGCGGTGTTTTTTGCTTAAGATCCTGTTTTTTTATTATGGATGTCGTTTTTTATTTGACATTTTTTTTTGTTGTTCACACAACAACAGGTGTAAATAAATAGATAAGTGATTGTTTCGTAATTTTGTAAGCATTCGAAATAATAACTGGTTCTCATACTTACGTTTGCGTAAATAAATTGACAATCGTGCAGACATAACAATGATTTATTACAATAATTAAGAAATCACGGAAACACAGTCTGAGTATAGTAGATATCTTCAAAAAATATAGATTGTAATTGACGCAAGTTTTATCATCAAAAAGAGTCCTAAAAGATTAGGATACCGTTTGAGTACCTAAATTCTGACCCATCTAAAGCGATGGCCCTTAAAACAAAACTGGCAACAATAGGCAGTCCTTGCTCATGTCTAAGTGCAACTTTTGCCACTATTCAAACGAAATATGATTTATATTCTGTTATGTACCTATGCCTATAATGCTCAAAATAGTTTGGAAACTTTCAGAAGGGGGTCTACTCTGTTCTATCGAAATATGGGAGATTTTTGTTGATTTTTAGTAACATTGTCACTAAATAAAATTCGGAATGACCTACTTATGTCTGCGGATGTTAGCCATTCGACAAAATGAGCTTATAAACCTTCTGAAACTTTTATTACTTCAGTTACCACTTTAGATGACTCAGAGTTTAGCTGTTAAAGGCAAGGAAGTTAAAAGTACAGAAAAATGTTATTAAAGCAAAGAAGATCTTTTGTAATTACAATAATCGGTTAAATAAAGTAAAATACGCTTAGGCCAGTTTAGTAATTATACAAACCGGTATATAAAATTACCGAATGATTCATTAGAATTGGAAAGTAAAAATGGGAATTTAATGATTCCAGAATTGAAACGGACGAAAACGGTACACAATATAACACATAATATGACGGATCCACTTCAAATAAATAAAAACATATTTTATACATTATTTTAGATACGTTACTTATATTTTAATAATCAAATATATATTTTTAAAGAAAGTACTTCTTTTTAACGGTATTCTTAGTATTATACGTGAGCATGTTGGAATCCTTTGAAGATCCTGGGAACGGATGATTCGTAAAATGACTTTCTGTGATCAAATCAAAGAAATTCAATAACTTTTATACAACTTTATAATGAAATAACTGTCTCACATTTTATTTTTTTTTATTTTGTTTAATCTGTAGAGTGAACGTGAATTTTAAATCGTAAAATTCCCCGCCTTTTGTTTAATATTTAGAAAATAGCAGACAGCACAGGTATTTTGAATTTTATCTCTGGAATCGTGTTTAAGAAATTTAACAGAAACAAAAAGTGAAGCTCTCTTAACAACTTATTGTTTCACTTAACAAAGTATCTTAAGAAAAAGCAATTTTATAATTAATATTTCATTTACTCATTGCTTATTAGCATTTGAGAGGACATGGTTCCGTTTAGCTAATTAATATTTAATTAATTTAACGCGTAATTTTTACTTCTCTTCTATTTCTCCCCAACCTGTCCCATCCTCCATCTTTTGCTACAGTGAAGTCGGGAGGGATGGATTGTCCATCTACTAGTATTAGTAAGGTGCTTATTTAAGTGAAACAGTTGTTTAAATAAAAGTTAAAATTGAAACCCTGCTTTTGTTTTGTTAAATGCAGGGAGAAAACTAAATTTTCATGACAACGCAACAATGACAATTTTCGATTGTAAATGACTGAATTTGCCGTAGAAATAGTAGAATTTATTAGGTAACTTGTAATAATCTTAATTTTGACATGTTTCTTTAAAAAAAAAGTTTCAATTACAATTAAATTTGTAATATCAACTAAAATACCTAGTAAATTTATTTCTGATGGGATTTTATTTTTACAAATTCGGGTCCAAATTGTAATATCGCTTTAATATTTAGGTAAATTTTCCTTTTTCATTTTCTCCGTGAATTTGAAATAAAGAAATACATAATTCATATACATGATATGATGAAATATCGATAATTTTGAATACAATTGTACCAATATTTAATAGAAATACCAGTTAAAGTTGAGAAACACAATTATTCATATAATGGCTCCGACGGTGGTAGTAAAAGTCCTGCAAGCTATTCGAGACCATCGAGTGCTCAAAGTACCTTGAATAGACCATCAGTTGACAGTCTTTTAGACGAATTAAATGCAGGGTAAGTTGTTTATAGAACAATTCCTTATCATACAAGGAATGGTATATTTAAAAGGNGCGCGGACACAACGTGACCGTTTACACCCCAAACCCATTACAAAATTCGTCTTTAGTTAATTTAACGGAAATAGATCTTAGCGATTTATACGATTACATGGGCAAAGGTCAGATAAAGGAAGTGATGCGTGGATCAACTTCGCCTTATCAGGCATTCCACGTAATTTACGAAACATTAGTGATGCCGCTGCTTGAGGTGTTCGAAAATCATGTCGAAATTCAAAAATTTTTACGCGACAACACATCTCAATACGATGTGGTTCTAGTGGAACCATTTCCTCTAGTTTTCCTTGCCCTAGGAAGCAAATTTAATTGCCCGGTGATATCGGTCGTTTCTTTAAATCCATTCACACCCATACACGAATCGGTAGGAAACGTAATCCATCCAGTTTTTTATCCCGATGTCCCGTTATCTTACGTCCACGATCTTAACTTTTTCGAAAGACTTTATAATACGTTCCAAACGTTGAAGATCATGATTTACCACGAATATAATCTGTTAGCCCGATGTGACGAATACATAAAGAAGAATATCGGTGAAAATATACCACCAATTCGTGAAATAAGTAGAAATATTAGTGCTCTATTCCTTAGTTTGAACCCCATATTTAATATTGTTCGACCTTTAAGCCCTTTGACAATTCCCATGTCATTTATGCATGTTCAACCTCCAAAGGAATTGCCCCAGGTATGTATATTCTACGGAAAAAACTAAATTCTTATGATAACGCAAAAATTACAACTTTCGATTGTAAATGACTTAATTTGCCGTAGAAATAGTAGAACTTATTGGGTAACTTGTAATAATCTCAATTTTGACATGTTTTCTAAAAATTATTTAAAGTTTCTTAATTGTTACAATTTTATTTGTAATATCAACTAAAATACCTAGTAAATTTATTTCTGCTGGGATTTTATTTTTACAAATTCCGATTCAAATTGTAATTTTTATTATTTTCGCTTACGAAGCAACGGGCTAGTGGGATAAATTGTAAATATCGCTTTAATATTTAGATAAATTTTCTTTTTTCATTTTTTTCGTGTAAGCTTTCTATGTATCTACATGTAGTGGATAGTGGCACAAACAAATACCTGGTAGACTAATGTTTTGGAAAGTTACATACTTCAAAAAAAAAAATATTTTGATTAGGTCTCTCGGTAATTCTCAATTAGCGTAAAGCACCTGATTTACTACATGACGACGACGATCGTCTCTTCGTGACAGTCTCGAGAACAAAGCAGGTTTCACATACACTAAACCGTCACTTCAACTACATAAAGAGGCCGATTAAGATATTCCTTCAGGGTATTTTTAACGTCCCGTGCTATGGCAGGTTGAGCAGAACCAGTTTCCCGGATTCGGTATCACTTTATACTACCTACATACACACATGGGCGAACACATACCTATCCACAGATATATATAAGAAAGCACCGAAACAAGATTCAGATCCGCTTTTGCTCATATATATATAGATATATAAGTAAGTGTTTTAAAGTTTTATAAAAGAAAAGAAAGATAAAAAACAAAAGCTCAGGGGGAACTTCACAATTTATACGTATGACCGAGAACGAAGCGTGCACTTGATATTTAATCGTTTTGTTTTACTTTTTCTGTCTACAATCAGCACCTGTGCAAGGAGCCTTATTAATACCGAAGAATAAGAAAAAGAACGCATGGATTGGAACGTTATAATGTGCAAGAATGTGGAAGTGGCCTCGTTAATAATAGCGATTTTTCGACAAGCAGATGTGCGTTCGGTGGTGAACATTTAAGTGCGAACTTTTTAAGCATCTCATAAAATTTACTATTTGAGATGTTACTATCATCATCATCATAAGGTCATCAGTCCTAAGACTGTTTGGACACGTACCTCCACTCTTTCCTATCCTGAGCTAAACTTCGCATTTCCCTAAAACTAGAACAGCCCACATCCTTAACTATTTGCGAACAGTAATCTAATCTAGGTCTACCTCTACCCCTCCTAACTCCTGTTTCTGCCTCTAATATGTCTCTGACTAGACCTTCATGCCTGAGAAGGTGTCCTACCAACCTATCTCGCCTATTTTTTATTGACTTCCATAGAGTCCTCTGTTCTCCTATTCTTTCCAATACCTCTTCATTTCTAACCTTTTCTACCCACGATATCCTCATCATCCGCCTATAACACCACATTTCGAACGCTTCTAACCTTTTCTTTTCCGCCGCTCCCACTGTCCATGTTTCGCACCCGTACAACGCCGTGCTCCAAACATACACCTTTAACAACCTTTTTCGAATTTCTAAATTAACCGTTCGCGAGCATAGAAGTGACTTCTTTTTATTAAAGGCGACACGACCCTGCGCTATCCTCTGCTTTATATCCCTACTACTCCTTCCATCCTTACTTATCTGACTTCCTAGGTATCTAAAATCAGCCACTTCTTCTAATTTTTCGTCTCCTATCTTTATATTCGCTCTTTCCCTACTTTTTCTTCCCTTGCATACCAGTATTTTAGTTTTACTTTTATTTATTTTCATACACTACTGATCTGTCAGTACCGCTTGCATTTTATTTAAAGCTATCTCTAGTTACTAGGAGTTGATAAAATTATGCTCCTTGATTCGGAAGACTTAATGGCTAATTCATTTTTGAATATTTTCAAATTTTTTCTGACGCGATTCTCATTTCAAATGAACATTAGCCTTATAATTAAACTTACCCTTTTGTTTAAAACAAACCGGACTTTCTTTGGTTAACGTTCATGTGTAGAAATATTGAAAATCTAAACTTTCTAGTCTAGAATGGTACCCTCATTCGGAATAACATACAGTACAGCCTCGATAATTCGAACCTTCGCTAATTCGAACAACACTTGAAGTCATAATCCGAACTAGCGTTGATAGTCCGAACAAATCCGAACAGCCCAGGTGTGATAACGTCATTTCGTTTATCTTACGAAACGTTTACGTTAATGGCTATGAAATGGCGCTAAAATGCAAAATATTGCATCATCAATATAATAAAAAGTTGATATTATTAAAAATTTAGAGTCAGAAGCGGTTACAACTTTTTCCAGATTCGTTTAACAGACGACTGCTCTTTGATAATCAGAACAAACTAAACTTTGCAATAATAAGTTCGGATTATCGATGTTGTACTGTATTTATAACATTTTTTGTGTATACAGTAAGCGTAAAGTTAAATGTAACCGACTTTTTAAGATGGTCATAAAATTTACCTTTTGATGAGGTGCTTATCTATAATGTCTTTTTAATAAATCCTTACATGTTTTTACCAAATTTACTTATTTATTTTTTGTTATAAGATATTTTGACATTTTACCGTTTGCAGTAAGCGTGAAATTAAATACGAATGAGATTTTTAAAAAACTCATTGAGTAATTGTTTACTTACAATATAACGAACAAAAACTATTAGTTGCAGTAAATTTCCCATTCTAATTTTTAGCCAGAGATTATAAACCCATTTTTGATTAATGATCAGTAACAGATAATCTATAATGTAGTAAACCCATTATAGATATCGGATGAAAAGTCTTAATAAATTTTTAACGACTCATAAATAAAATCGTTAAGTTTTATGCCTCTGTTTAGGTGTAACTTCTAATTATCATTGCGCTTATTATATTTATATTTTCCTTGTGTACGTACAAGTTTGAAATCAATTTCTATATAAAGTCATAAAATTTTATATTGGTCGATTACGTACTTACCAATAATACAATGCATGAAAAATAATATTTATCAAATAAAGAACACCTTAACTTTGACTTCAATTAAACGTTACTTCCCTTTTCATGTTTTACTTACTTATTAGCATTTTTGACCTAAAACATGCCTTTGGCTTTTTGTCTTTCGGAAACAGGAAACGGATATTTGGTAGAAAGGTTTCTTCTGTCTTAAAAGAATGCCTAGCTAGATACATTTCTTTGTGGTAACACAATCTAAAAAAAGAACAAGATACTGCTTTTTATGAAACTTCCTTTCATTTGGATGATAAAGAAGATTCTGGATAAAAAAGACTGGAATATGTTTTTTCCTTACACTTTTCTTTAAAATATACGGATAATACAGATAAAATTAGATCGGCATAAATTTATTGGCTGATAAACTAAAAACATTTGGCAGTCTAAGAGATAGCCTTAAATGAAATGGAAGCGGTATTGTATGAAAATAAAAAAAAGTAAAACAAAAATACTAGTATGCAGGGGAAGAAAAACTTGGGAAAGAGCGAATATAAAGATTGGAGACGAAAAATTATAAGAACTGACGATTTTCAGTATCCAAGAAGTTAGATAACTCAGGATGGAATTAGCGGTAGAGAGATAAAACAAAGGAAAATGCAGGGTCGAGTAGCCTTTAACACAAAGAAGTCATGTACGAACGGTTAATTTAGAAATTTGAAAAAGATTGTTAAAGGTGTGTGTATGTAAGGAACGCGGCGCTGTATGGGGTGCGAAACATGGACAGTGGGGGTGGCGGAAAAGAAAAGGTTAGAAGCGTTTGAAATGTGGTGTTACAGGCAAATGATGAGGACACCATAAGTAGAGAAAGTTGGAATTGAGGAGGTATTAGAAAGAACAGGAAAGCAGAGGTCAGTATAGAAGTCAATAAGAAATAGACGAGATAGGTTGATAGGACACCCTCTTAGGCATGAAGGGCTAGTTAGAGACATATTAGAAGCATAAACAGGAGTTAAAAGGAATAGAGGAATACCTGGATTAAAATACTGTTAAGGAGATGGGATGTTCTTGTTATAGCGAAATTAGGTCAGGATAGGAAAGAGTGGAGGTGCGTGTCCAACCAGTTTTAGGATTGACCACCTTATGATGATGATGATTATGAATCTGCATAAATTTAAGAGTTGCCGAAGGATAATCATAATCAAATCAATGAAACTATCACACCTTAATAAAATAGCTACGTGATTGTTAATTTTAGCCATTAACCAAGTTGTGGACAGCTTGCGTAGTGTTTAAAAACATCAAAAAGGTGTTAAATGAAGCATTTAAAGTAGTTCATAAACTACAAACAACTAGGTTATGGAATTAACACAATTCACGACAATAAAAAAACTACAAATACCGCTAATTAGTTGTAATTGTATGCCTACTTTATTCTTTCGACAGTATTTCATTTTTTTAGAACCCATGCACAATTGTTATTGTTACAATCACACGAACAATTCAACTTCGTACTCAAGTCCGATTTTTTCCATTCCCACAACAATAAGAGCATGAGAGTCTTAACTAAACTAATATTTTAAAGCGTTATTGGTTTTAATCTTTTCCTTCATAAGTTATTATTACAATAGCACAAGAAAATCTTTTGTTAAATAAATAGAAAAAATATAAATTTCCTGCTACATAAACGTTGGATACATTTTAAGACCTGTTAAAGATTTATGTGTAAGGTCAAAGATTAATCAAGTCGACTTTTAAATGACTTTATAAAATGATCATTTCCATTACTTAAATTCATATTTTTGGTAGGGTTATATATAATACAAATCAAATTAACAGTAAATACTTTAGAGTTGTTGTTATAAAAGCGAATGAAGCGTCGACTTGATCTGGTCTGTAACTAATAAAGCAATAAAACAATTACTTTGCAAACGATGTATTTACCCTTAGGATTAGTCATTAATATGATCTCTGCTAACATTCACTTGTTTGACTAATCTGAAACATCTTCCCGACAGTCGTAAAACAAGTAAATGAGGTTTCGTTTTTGTTTTATCGTTTAATCTGACCGCCTTATATTTAAGAAATCCAAA